TCTGGGAGTTGAAGTCCACTCATCTTAAAGTGGCCAGGTTTGGACAACACTGATCTAGATTCAATTTCAGGGCAGTTCTGCTAGTGCTTAGTGAAATCTCTGCCTCATCTCTGCAAGATGGGCTTTCAGTAGATGACATAATATATGAGAAGCAAGCAAAGCAGCAGAGCAGAGACTGTGGTACCATCCCTGCAAATCTTTGTTTATGGTTTCCTCCTTAGGTTAGAAACCGAAGAAATCAGAGATGAGATTTCTATCCAGCACTTTAACCTAAAGTAGAAAGGTGGGGCAGCTGTTAAGATCATGTCAGTGCTCTTTATTAACACTGGCACTCAGTTTTTCCCCTTCCAATTAAATGATATTCAGGATCATGCGTTATTTGGAGATTATTCATAGCCTGCACGCACCAATTGTTTTTAATGATATGGAGTTGATTGACATTAATGAATGTACACAGGCAGGAGTACATATTATATTCTTAAGTATTAACAAAAAGAACATTAAACTTTGGGCTACAGTGGAATCCAGACGGTCAAGTTTCTAATTTTTATTGAAGGCGTTCTGTACTCTTTTCCTTAGGAACTGGACTAAAAAAATTCCACACATCTTCTGAGAGAATAAAATGCTTGCTTATGGGCTGTACAACCCATCATTGTTTACCATTTCACTGAATGCAAAATATAGCTCTTAATAGTTTCATTACTCATTACTCATGGCTAAAAAAAAAGGGGGGGGAGTTAGTTAAAACTGTAATGATCACAAGCAGCCACAAGATGGTGATGACTAACTTTAGATCCTAATTCCATTGAAGAAAGTCTTCAGAGCACTACAAATGTAAGTTGATAAAATTAATATTGAGCTGTTTAGTGGAAGGAGCAAGGGCAGTAGAACCCATCCACAAATTTGTTAAAGATTATTTGTATTTTTCATTTTTTTTCATTTCTGACTTTTAACTTTGTAATTTTAAAATTTCAATAAAATATTATTTAAAAAACCAAGATTTTATTATTCATTATCTAGGGCTGGGCCACAAGCCCAAATTAACAACAAAAGCTTTCTAGATGGACTCCAAAAATCATTTAAGAAATGTAGTAAGTCTCAGATACTATAAACAAAAGGTTTATTTAGGCAATAGTAGAATGTCTTTTAGATGTACTTAAGACAGATAAATCTTAAATCCCAGTAAGGCCTGTCTATAAATGCAAAGAGTAGCAGTTTTGTCATATAGGCAGAGGTTATTGTAAATTATTTTACTGGATCATTTTGTGCTTTAAAAAAAGCTTGCTTTTACATCTATTTACATCCATTGGATGTAATTTATTGTCAAGTAAAAACCCCAAAGTGTTTTTGTACATACAGTAGTACAAAGTTCTGCCACAACTTAATGAAAAGTTAAGGGTGCCTTTGATCTCCAACGTCACTGCTTTTATATTTTTAAATAGCCAGGAAAATAAACAAGCTGCAGGAACTCTCTAGAATAAACTATACCTCTGACCTTGGCAAATCTCAGATGGTACAGAACACAAAAGGTGGATAGGAGTAGTGTATCCTGATCTTTCTCAAACAAGTATATCACCTCACATAATCATAATGCTTTAAAAAGCCATTTTTAGCCACCATTCACAAACACAATGGACCCACTGCAGCACTATAGCAAGGTGGGTGTAGAAGAGTCATACCTTTACCCCAATCCAAACATGGTCCCTAATCCAGATCATTCTGCAAAATGCCAGTTAACACATAGTTTTTGCATAACATAAACTGCAGTCATATTTGTAGATGAACCAAGGAAGGAAAGAGTGAAAGCCGTCATCCAATTCCCATTCTGTTCTCTTATTTTTCATTGGGGGGGAGGGGGGATGCTGTCTGTATGTGTGTGTGAGAGAGAGAGACAGAGACAGAGACAGAGAGAGACCAGCAAGCTATCTTACAGAAATACACTACAGTTTTCAGTTAGATGTGATCTTACCTTGAATGGAATAAACTCTCCTCTCCCTTGTCCTGTAGAACGGCAAGGAAGGATCTGGAGCTTTTATAGCTGCTACTCATGATTTTTCATGGGTATTTATTATTAGTAGTATTAGTATTATTTAAGAGAAAGCTTTGCAACATTTACAAAGCGTCTAGTAATAACAAACTTTTTTGAAAGGCAGAAATTATCCGCAGTGACAAAGGAACAGTTACTGTTTCAGAAGCATAGTTTTTTTATATATCACTGTCAGTACTGAATAGAGTACGTCCCAAATTCTGAATCTGCTAAGGTGTTTTTTTTTCTAAATCCTTAAAGCACTTCCCATACACTGATATGATTCAACGCTTCACTTACACACTTACAGAAAACACTTCTGATGGACCATGTAGGGGTACAAAATGTATTTCCAGTGATAGCCCTTCATGTCATAAATGTCTGCCTTTCATTCTGGATGGGTGCTTTAAATTACAGATTAACAATCAAGTGTCTATATTTGGAAAACTATTTCTTGATTTCAAGCACCTACATTCCAAGTCCCATAAATAAACAAATCAGCTACCATCTTCCTGCTGGTTAATTCAAGACACATCATTTTATTAATCTACACATTTATT